CCGTGTTCGGGTTAATAATGTGCTCTCCCCGGACTTTATCCAAGCTGAAGGTGTCCCCCAGGGATGTGTTCTGAGCACAACACTTTTTCTCCTTGCTATTAATGATTTGGCCTCTAGTCTTCCATCAAATATTTGGTCATCACTCTATGTTGATGACTTCGCTATTGCCTGTGCAGGCGCTGACTGTCACCTCCTTACAGTTTCTCTCCAGCATGCAGTCGACCGTGTTTCCAATTGGGCCACCACACATGGGTTTAAATTTTCCAGCACTAAAACCCACCAAATCACTTTCACTAGACGCTCTGTCATCTCTGATCATCCTTTGTACCTCTATGGCTCACGTATCCCTGAACGTGATACAGTCAAGTTTCTGGGCCTCCTCTTTGATCGTAGGTTATCCTGGAAACCTCACATTACCTCTCTGAAGGCAACTTGTCACAGCCGGCTGAACCTTCTTAAAACCCTTGCTCATCTTTCGTGGGGAGCTGATCGTCGAACCCTCCTTCACCTACATTCCACCCTTATTTTATCGAAACTTGATTATGGTGACCAGATCTATTCAGCGGCACTCCTGCTACTCTCTCTAGCCTTAACCCCATTCATCACCAAGGATTACGTTTATGCCTTGGTGCTTTTCGCTCTTCCCCTGTCGAAAGCCTCTATGCAGAAGCGAACGTTCCATCCTTATCCGATCGCCGTGATGCCCATTGCCTGCGCTACTATGTACGCTCTCATGATCTCCGTAATCCTTCCATTTATAGAATGGTCACTGATATTAGTAGACATTCTTTATTTGTTCGCCGCCCCTGCTTACTCCGTCCCTTCTCTCTTCGCCTTCATTTGCTCTTGTCTTCTCTTCAACTACCACCTTTCTATGTACATGTAGCATCTCACTTTTCCCTACCCCCCTGGGAAGTTCCAGCTGTTCGAGTCTGTTCTTTCTCCCTCCCTTGCTCGAAAGCCCAACTGTCTACGGTCGCTTCCCGCTCTCTTTTTCTTGACCACTTTCACTCTCATTCTCATGCCATTGCTGTGTACACAGATGGCTCTAAGTCTTCTGACGGCGTAGGATTCGCAGCAGTGTTTCTGGACAGCGTCGTACAAGGGCATTTACTATCTTCAGCTAGTATTTTTAACTGCTGAATTATATGCCATCCTTACAGCACTTATCCGTATTGCATCTATGCCTGTGTCATCATTTGTGGTTGTCTCAGACTCCCTTAGTGCTTTACAGGCTATACAAAAATTTTGATACACCTCACCCCTTAGTCCTCCGTATCCAACTTTGGCTACGCCGCATCTTTACTAAGCATAAAGATATTGTTTTTTGTTGGGTCCCTGGTCATGTTGACGTACAGGGCAATGAACAGGCAGACACTGCTGCGCGGTCAGCAGTACATGACCTACCAGTTTCTTATAGAGGTATTCCATGTACGGACTATTTTGCTGTAATATCTTCCCACCTTCACACCCGTTGGCAACAACGTTGGTCTACTATGCTCGGCAACAAACTTCAGTCTATTAAACCGAGTATAGGTTACTGGCCGTCTTCTTATCACCAGTGTCGAAGTTGGGAGACTACTCTCGCCCGTCTTCGCATTGGCCATACTCGTCTTACTCATGGATATCTCATGGAGAGGCGTCTTGCTCCTCTCTGTGAGAATTGCCAAGCTCCATTATCAGTCAGCCACATTCTGTTGGACTGCCCACTTTATCAACGAGCACGCAGAATTTACCTCTGTCGTCGTCTTCGCCCCGCTGCTCTCTCTTTACCTTCCCTTCTCGCTGATGGACCCACCTTTCATCCGGACTCTCTCATTGACTTTTTGACAACGACTGACTTACTTCACAAATTCTGATACTTTCCGCCCTTTCTACTTGTATCTCTTGCTACCCTTTACCCCCGTACTATCCCCTGCCCCGCTGTTTTCTGTAACCTGCTGATCATCCCCCCTCCCTTCTGCCATCCAATTCCCTTGCTTCCTTCCCTACCCTGCAGCGCTGTATAGCCCTTGTGGCTTAGCGCTTCTTTTTGATTATAATAATAATAATAATTCTGGCACAGTATTGTTGAATTCTTGATGTTAAAGTACGTAAATGAACATATTATGTATTGTGCATTATTTAGCACAGTACAATAATAACTTTTCTCGGTTCTCATCCTTTAGCACGATTTTTTTTTTTTTTTTTTTTTTAACACATCGGCCGTTTCCCACCAAGGCAGGGTGGTCCGAAAAAGAAAAACTTTCATCATCATTCACTCCATCACTGTCTTGCCAGAGGCATGCTTACACTACAGTTATAAAACTGCAACATTAACACCCCTCCTTCAGAATGCAGACACTGTACTTCCCATCTCCAGGACTCAAGTCCGGCCTGCCGATTCCCCTGAATCCTTCATGAATGTTACCTTGCTTACAGTCCAACAGCATGTCAAGTCCTAAAAACCATTTGTTTCGATTCGCTCCTGTCTAACATGCTCACGCACGCTTGCTGGAAGTCCAAGCCCCTTGCACACAAAACCTCACAAAAATATAAATGTTAAAAATATTGGAAGGCAAGAGAGGAAAGTTTTATGAAATTAAATACTGCCTATTGCAGCTATTAAAATGTCAAACATTATTTCAGATTATGCAGGTGGTACATTGCCTTGGAAAATTTTGGAATTTCATTAGCTGCTCTGTATTCTTGGTTCTCTCATACAAAGGTTTGTCAAGCAGTCTCGGACTGTAATAACTGTTGGACGCTTTCTCTGTGTACCTCTTTGCTCATTTACTTTTTTGGCATCCGACTTTTTTCTTGGCTTACCCTGATATTTATCTGTGAAAAACAAATTTCGTTCAGTCAGCATGTTCTTGTTTCTCAGTGCCATCTAATCTGCACTGTGTTGTACTTACCATTAATTGACATCTAATGGGCATACTTTTTTGCTCCACTTCAAGGGTTGATATTGAAGTTTCACCATGAGAAAGTACATTATTTTCTTATGAATAGACTTCTTCTTTCAACAAACTGACTGTATCCCACTGAATGAATAGACTTGAGGTTCATAAACAAACGTTTTATAAAATTCGGCTACTCGTGTGGTAGAACTGGATTCGAAGTTGTCTGTGCATTTTGGTTTCACATTTTTAAGTTTGGATATAAAACAAAATGGGTCCATGTACTGTATAATTATAACATTATGTATCTTGATATCTGGGTTAGCATCTGTTTAAATTTGTAGTCAGTAGTCTTTAGTAGTTGTATTAGATGGTAGATTTGTATTTGTAGTAATTCTTAACACTGAATTTAAGGTGTACCATAAGACACCTATGAGTTTAACTCTTCCCCTGATTAAAAAAGTTAATAAATAAATTTAAGGGATATTCACCTATTTGTAAAATAGGGCAAGTCTCTGCTTTTGGCTCTGTCTCTTAACTTCACATGACTTGGTTCACAAGTTTCATGCCTCGTGGACCCCTGTTGTATCTCTTTTAGTTCATGTACTATTTTGTTTGTCTTTGCCACCTCCTCATCCAAGTCATTCCACTTACCATGCTAAGGGTGAAGTTTCATAACTTCATAAAGATGTTTTATGTTGGGTCCCTGGTCATGTTGACGTACAGGGCAATGAACAGGCAGACACTGCTGCGCGGTCAGCAGTACATGACCTACCAATTTCTTATAGAGGTGTTCCATTTCCAGACTATTTTGCTGTAATAGCTACCCACCTTCGCACCCTTTGTCAACAATGTTGGTTTGCTCTGCTCTATAACAAACTTTGTTCTATTTGAGTATAGGTTACTGGCCATCTTGTCACCAGTGTTGAGGTTGAGAGACTACTTTCTCCCGCCTTCGCATTGGCCGTACTCGTCTTACTCATGGACATCTCATGGAGAGGCACCCTGCTCCTCTCTGTGAGCATTGTCAGGTTCCATTATCCGTCAGCCACATTCTGTTAGACTGCCCAATTTATCAACGAGCACGCAGAATTTACCTCCAACGTCGTCTCCGCTCTACTACTCTCTCTTTACCTTCCCTTCTCGCTGATGGACCCACCTTTCATCCGGACTCTCATTGACTTTTTGACAACAACTGACTTACTCCACAAACTCTGATGATACCTTCAGCCCTTTCTACCTCAATCTCTTGCTACCCCCTACCCCGCTGTTTTCTGTAACCTACTAATCATCCCTCTCCCCTTCTGCCGCCCGATACCCTCGCTTCCTTCCCTACCCTGCAGCTCTGTATAGCCCTTGTGGCTTATTATTATTATAATCAAAAAGAAGCGCTAAGCCACAAGGGCTATACAGCCCTTGTGGCTTAGCGCTTCTTTTTGATTATAATAATAATAATCTACTGTATATCAATATTATTTTTTACTACCGACTGTCTTCCACCTAGGTAGGATGACTTCTTGCAGAAGTGTACAGGCAGTCATCACAATTTGGCTGACTCCAAACTGTAACATTCCCAGATCTTCAGAGTGCAGGCACTGTACTTCCAACCACCTTTGAATCTTATTCTTTCTTGTTTCTTTTTTTTATACAGTGAAACTATGCAGACATTTTGGCAATCTTCGGGTAAATTTCTTTTCTTTCATGTATTCATTGAACAAATATACCAGCCACTCCAAAACTATATCCCCACTTTCTTGTAACATCCCAGTCTTAATCCTATCTGTCCCAAATGCTTCTTTTCCCGTTCATTTTACCCATTGCCCCACACACTTCCCTCACATTCACTTCTGGCACTTCCTTGCTCCTACTTGTAGTGTTGAAAACCATGGAAGAAATTCCCATGGCTGGCATTACTACTGTGATCCTCTCTAAAATATTTTTTGTCTGAAATATTGCTTTCCATTGTATGAAAATGTTAATAGGGATAATAATTATGGTGCAAGTTAACCAGAAACCTGACTTCAGGCAATGTTACTTGATCTAGCAGTCTTCAGTGGTGTCAAGATTGATTTGCCATATGTTACAGGCTCAGCTCTTATATGAACACTTTTCTTACAGATACACAGAGCAGTACTGGAGAAGAGATCGAATTTAGCAGACTGGCAACAGAACCATCTGAGATGTCCTCAATAACAGCCTTTGCCAAGAAAACTGCCATGGAGTAAACACAGCTGTTGTGGAAAATATTTGTATGGGTCTTGAGCGTAGTTTTTAACTTTTAGATTTTTAAGGTATATTATATATGTAAATATTTATATATTTATAAATAAATATTATTTATACATATATGTAATATTTATTTATATTTATATACATTTATATTTATATTATACTGTATATATTTCTTACAATTTCTTTTACTTTACACTTTATGTGAGTATCCAAAATTTTCACAAAACAAAATAGTGCCATTCTTGTACCTCTGCAGTGCACAAAGGCTTTTCTTCCATGTGTTTGATCATGTAAATGTTCAAACACCAATCATGAATAGACATTTCTCACATGTTTTCTTTTAATTATTTATGATTGATGCATCCGTGTGTATATTATTTGATAACCACACGAAATTATCCATGATATAGTAGCTAATATGCGATAATCTGTTAGAAATTCTCAGTTTAATGTGTAGTTTTTTAGTATTACTGTTTAATCATTATATACAGTGACTGAGTGTTGTTATGAAAGTGTTAATAAAAATTTGGAAGATAAATAAATGCATCCCGAAGAAACTTTTCATAATGTCCACTCTAGTGACACACTTTAAATCTCAGTCTTTAGTGAGTAATGTACACTTTTTCTATTATTAATAGTAGTAATAGTAGTAGCAATATTATTAATATTATCATCATTATATTGGATTGTGTTTAGCAAACCTCAAAAGTATCTACATAATACCAAAAAGGTGTGCAATACCATTTTTGTTAAGGCTGGTAGGTTCGTAAGACATTTTTTTTAATTGTATCATTGCTGTCTTGCCTTGATCAGAATTTGAAAGTCATAATAAAGAATGCATTGTGAGCTGCATCTGGTGACCTGAAATTGGCCTAGGGGATAACAGTTGTTTTTACCATATTATACAGTACAGTATTGTATTACAATTGATCTTACTTTATTTGTAGAGAAAGCTCTGCTCTTCTGTTGTGTTATGGGAAATTTTTTGATATGAATGCAGTAATTTTGGATTTCTGTGGTGATTTCTTTGCCGACTGAGAGAAGTGACGAGAGAGAGAGAGTACGTCGCTTTATTCCATACTCTTTATTAACAGAGTTATAAAAATTATTTGAGAACTACATCATCTTTCAGATTTGCCAATCATATTAGGAAACACAGAAGTAAAGTTTTAAGATTTTGACTGTTTCCAAAAGATTGTGGACTATTGTTTTTGAGAAAGTAAACTCCAAGTTTTGCCAAAAATAAATATATACGATATTAACAGAGCATTTTTTTATTTCTTCACTACTGAACATAACTGTTTATTTATAGATTTTATTTGAATTCAAAATGTTTACTATAATGAAATACTTAGGTATTTACAAATTCCAAACTCTGCCTGATTAAAAATATCATGGTAGATTATTCAGAATTAACACCTGATTCAGGAACCTTTGCATTGAATCTCATAATTGTGCAAAAGTGTGAAAATGCTGCCTGTTGGATTTTTTTTTTTTTTTTTGCAAGAAATTATTAAACTTTCAAATGACAGACTAACAATAATTCCTCACCAAGAAAATTAACTCGTTGCCTTTCTGTTTGAAACTGAATCCACTTAAATTATTTTATGAAGAGCACTTTATTAATGTACCTTTAATTTGATAAATTACCTTTACACCTCCATGCTGAAATTTGCATCTGGGTAAACTTGTTTTGTACACCCTGCAATATGTCTGCTCCTTTTGTTCTTTGCCAAGGAGGAATACAACGCAGACAATTTGCAGTAATGACATACATGTTTCATTAGTTGGTTCAGTGATGAGCTTAGTAGTGTAGAGGACAGGTACAGAATGAAGAGAGCATATCTTAACTTATAAACATGTTTGGTTTTGCCAGGCCATTCATCATATGTTTGGTGCTTTTTTATAAGTAATATTTGATGCTGATTTTTTATTTTTATCCTTCATTCAGCTGTGTTCTTCCAGTCAAGTTGCCAAATTGAGTTTTAAAGTTTTCAGTATGACAGGGGCTTATTCAAGAGATTTAATTCTCTCTGTACAGGTGTTTCAAGTGTTTGACAGCACCAGTCACCAAACACGTAAAACAAAATAATTTTCTTTTTCACTAAAATTTTAGTATTGAGTTTTTTAATAACTTTATATGTTAAATTAGTGCTCTAATAGCAGTCCTTATTCATTATTAAAATATTGAAGGGTAAGGTACAGTTCAAGGAAAAGAACAAAAATGGCCATGGTGTAAGATTGTGAGACAATGGATTGGCCATTAATTCTGAATCCTATCCTTGAGGGCCCAAATTTTATCCTTCCCTCCTCCACATTAGTTATACAATGTGGGTTGCATGGGACTGCAATTCACTCGGAGTCATGGACACGCATAAACTCCATGTATTTATACTTTGCTCTAGTAATTCATATTGCATTTTTAAATCAAATATTTTTGCATTTTTCTCCTTGAAAAAAATAGCCTCTCACATTATGCATGTGCTTCTAAGTTCTGTAAGCTCTAACGACCAGTTGCCATTGTGCAGTGAACATCTGCTGGTAGAAAAATGTGTAAAATATCTTTAGTGATTCTTGACCACATTATTGATTTTCCTGCCATTAAGGTAAAGAAGATGTCCAGCATAATAAGGTCTTGTGCCTCTTGTATTTTATATAAAATGTAGTTTTGTACTGTAATTTAAATTCCTATTCATAGTAGCTGGGTCTCACTGCTTGATCCAAGTTATGTTGAGCTGAATGTCATATATATACAGTGGACCCCCGGTTAACGATCACCTCCCAATGTGACCAATTATGTAAGTGTATTTATGTAAGTGCATTTGTACGTGTATGTTTGGGGGTCTGAAATGGACTAATCTACTTCACAATATTCCTTATGGGAACAAATTCGGTCAGTACTGGCACCTGAACATACTTCTGGAATGAAAAAATATCGTTAACCGGGGGTCCACTGGATATATATATATATATATATCTATAGTGTGTGGTATGAAGTGGCTGAATGCACAGTTAGGAAATGTATTGTAGAAATCATAAAAACTTCAATACTTTTGTTTAGTTAATCTCATCAGTAGTTTAGCACCATATATCATGACTGATAACACCTACATAAACTGGAGTAAATGATTTTGATTATGGAAGTTGTCTTTTATCATGGAGAGGAATCTGGTATGTACCATTGAGAAAGAGCTTTTATTTATCCTTCTAACTGAGCAAGATAGGAGATAAAAGCCAAGGTAGAAAGAATTAAATTCATTGCCTCTCAGTGAAAAATCAGAGTAAATAATTATAGGAAAATTTTAAGTCTTAGAAGATAATTAAAATAAATAAATTTTGTACTAAAAAGAGTTCTTTATTAAAGTCAGTGTAAGTATTACGTACTGCCCATGACTGCTTTGTATCACCAGGAGATGGAAATATTGTCTAGATACAGTATGATTATTTTTAGCCTTAATTCATTCAGACATTCTGTGCATCAAATGCTAAAAAAAAATACCTAAGTAATAGTATAAAGAAAATCATAAAAGGGACATTGTAGAATACTGCACACATGAAGGAATGCAGGGAAATATTATGAATGTGAATAACAATAAAAGGTATTTACCTTGGATTATAAGGCTCTTCTTTCAACAAACCGGCTGTATCCCACCAAGACAATTATAAGGGTAACACACCAAAACTGAGAGGGGATGTGAGAAAATAAATGAGTGTGAAGTTCAAACTAAATTCTTCATTAAATTAGAGATGGATATGTTTATTTGTGCTTCTCTAAGAGTTATTAAGAATATTTTGAGTTTAATGGCAAATAATTATAATCTTTTATTTCTTTAAATTTAAAAAAATTCTTACTGAATTCATGAAACCATTTCCATGTGCTTGTGGAAGCTGCTCGTTATATATACTAAACATTTAATGTACTTCATCTTCTAGGATGATTAGTGAAGTACAGTACTGTAATTAAACTATATATATTTGATATAATATTTTTTGAAGGGGAAAAAGTACAGTATTATGAAACAGTTGGCAAGTTAACTTGGATACGGTTTTGACTGAATGAATTAACTCCTGGTATGGGGAAAATAGCATTCAGTAATAGACTATTTTTTCTAATGCATGCCATTAAATATTAAGCTAGGAATGAGATCGTTGTGAGTATGAGGAGAGTACAGTATAATTGATCAGGGATATTGTTAGTTCCTTAAAGAGTATTCTTTGTATTGGAAGAATTAGCACAAATAAAAATCCGTAATGAGATTTTTCTGGCTTGTGGAATATTGTATTATATAAAGTGTTGTGAAAGCTCTGTTACTATACATAATATAGGTCATATTTGCATGTATAATTTGAAAATGAACTGGTACTTATGATTTACTGATAAAACTTACTAGTTCTTTCTACTCTGAAAAATAAATCACTATTGTATATAAAAATTTCAGAGACATTGAAGGTGCTGTACTGCATGTACTGTGCCTTTGGTGGCTAGTTTCTAATGTGTCCTTTGACAGTGCTATGTAGAAAGATTTCATGAGTTTATCAGGAAAGTAGGCTTGTTTATTTTGATGTGTTACCCTAACTTTTGTTTCTGATAAACATACAAATAATTTTATGTGATACCTCATGCTACTTAAGAGATGTACAGTACTGTAAGAATGATAGAATAAATCTTTTCTTTATGCTGGTTTATACTTTATATTTTATCACAGAGGTTTTCTTTATTAAGCTTGTCAACTATGGAATTTAATTTATAATATTAAATTTAGCTTAATAGACTGTGAATACTTAATGATTCATCACAAATAGTTCCTATCAGTAGTTATTTAAACTTAATTTCATTGAAGCTAGCTAAAGTGAATATGGTACCTAAAATGTGAATTTATATCTTAAGATTTTTGTGAAATTTTGTAGCATTATAAGTTATTTTTACTAGAAATTGTTTAATGGTAGATACTTTCTCTGTATTGCTTAGGAGCAGTGCATTCTAGTTTTCCAAATAAATTTTTTTCTGCCATGTGATTTTACTCTCATTTGTAATCCCATAAGTCTCTAGTTTCCTTCAAAGAGTTGAGGATAACACTACTCTCACTAACATATTGTTCATGCCAAACTTTTATGGTGAGGCACCCACAATACAAAAAATTTTTAGGTTGCATTGACAGTACAGCATAATCCAGTACTGTCCTGTTCATCAAAGTACATGAGTAAGGCACGTAACAGTTTGGTGTCTTGATTGACGAGACATTTTGCCTGCTCTGCAGGCTGCTTCATTTGAAATGTGGAGACAGCAGAAGTCTTGGAGGTGTAGGCATGAGGTGGTCAGTCCCTAAACTTGGAGAAGTAAGTTTGAGGTGGTCAGTCCCTCAGCCTTTCTGTATTCAGTTCCATAGCCTCAAAAGTGAAGGTGAAGCATAAGAAAGCATTTTATACTGTCAGAAGTGAGGTATGGATGGCATCACAGAAGGTGGGCCACTAGTGGAACTAAGAACATTGGAATTAAGGAATACTGCAACAAGTCTACTGGCCTATGCTGGGCAGATCAAAATGAAATCTCACTCACAACTAGTGGATGAGCAGTGAAGTTGTAGAAGATACCTTTGTATTGCTGTGTCAGATATCATTATATTAATTGTCTATAATACCAGCACACACGAGTAAGACATGCAATATTTTGGTGTCTTCGGTGACGACATTTTGCCTGCTAAATAGGTTTCTTCAGTCAAAACACAGAGGAGGCGGCAGAAGTTGTGGAGATGTAGATAAAAGGTGATCAGTCCCTCAGCCTGGAGAAGTAGTAATACTGTACAGTAAAAATCCTCAAGGGAGGCTCTTGATCCAAGAAACTGGACTTAACCTCTTTGGATCAAGTCTGAATACCTCCCATTCCTTAGGCTCTATATAATCCATTGGGGTTTAGCACTTAATGTAACAGCCAGTAACTTTTCTTCAAATAGTACTCTAAATGCATTTGTTTTTTTCTGCATTCATTTTTTTTTTTTAAATCCTGCTATTAATCAAGATATTGCTCAACATGTGGCAAGAGCATGGCAAAATGATGGGTAAAAAAGCATGCACAGAAATACAGTGGACCCCCGCTTAACGATCACCTCCCAATGCGGCCAATTATGTAAGTGTATTTATGTAAGTGCGTTTGTACGTGTATGTTTGGGGGTCTGAAATGGACTAATCTATTCACAATATTCCTTATGGGAACAAATTCGGTAAGTACTGGCACCTGAACATACTTCTGGAATGAAAAAATATCGTTAACCGGGGGTCCACTGTAGTTGGTGGCCTTAAAATGGGCCATGACTGTAGCAACTGCTGATTTATCATTACTGGACTCTTGTCTGAGAGTGGATTCAAGAACCGATGTTGGGTACATGTATTCATCCGAGAGACCTACATAAGGGGGGAAAAAAATGACATTCGGTCTTTGTGATAAGATACCTGTTCATCGGTACTAGTTAGTGAAGGGCTCTTCATCCAAGAAATGGACCTATCCTTTCTTTTCTTCTAGCAAATCTGTCTGATTGCTTCCCCTTTTCTAGGCACTGTATTACCTCTACAGGTTTAGTTTTCCCCCTTGATTATAGAAATAATGGCCCTGTGGTGTGGCAGGACACAATGTAAAAGGGTTCGTGAAGGCGGATAGCCTATGACCCCATAGTAGCCGTGGCAGCAGCAACTGCTGCATTACTAGTGCTGGTACATTTTCCTTTCAAGGATCTTCATGCATGGCATTAAAACTTGGAAATCTGATGGTGCCCAGGCCATGTCAAGGTTCCTGGAAATAAACAGGTATGCTCAGGCAAAACCTGCTATTTCAAGCTTGCTTTGTAGCAAACTTGCCTTGCAAAAGTTTGCTATAAAGAACATATGTGAATGTGCTCAGATATTTATCAGTGGATGGGTTTATGAAGGACGAGGTTAACCACTGAATTAATGAAAGAAAAAAGATCGGTGGTACATTGAGGTATCTGTGTAGACAAAAAACATTATCCATGGAGACAAAGAAGGAAATGTATGAATGAAGTAGTACCAACACTTACATGGGTGTGAAGCATTGATAGTGAATGCTGCAGCAAGGAGGCGGCTGGAGGTAGTGGAGATGTAGTTTCTAAGGACAAATGTGTAAATATTATGCAGAGAATTCGTAGTGTGGAAGTGTAAAATTATTCAGAGGGCTGAAGAGTATTATAATCATGAAGGAGCACTAAACCCGTAGGATTATACAGTGCATCGGGGGGGGGGATGGAAAGTATTCAGGATCAATTCAGGAAACCGGAGCACAGATCCAATTCCCTAAATCAAGAGCCCCTCACCAGCATCAAGGAACTTCCCTTGAGGGGAGAGGGCTGAAGAGGGGTTGCTGAGGTGGTTTGGTCATTTAGAGAGGATGGATCAAAATAGGATGACTTTGAGGGCATATAAATCTTTAGTGGAGGGGAAGAGGGGTAGAGTCGTCCTAGGAAAGGATGGAGGGGGTAAATGAGGTTTTTGTGTACAAGAGGCTTGGACATGCAGCAGGCGTGATAGATGAATTGTTTTTGGGACCTGATGAGCTGTTGGAGTGTGAGCAAGGTAATATTTTGTGAAGAGATTCAGGGAAACCAGTTAGCCAGACTTGAGTCCTGGAGATAGGAAGTACAATACCTGCACTTTAAAGGAGGGGTTTGGGATATTGGCTGTTTGGAGCGACATCTAAACTGTCATATCCGGGCGCCTTTTCAAAGACAGTGATTACGTGTGAACGGTGGGAGACGGACAAAGTGTTGAAAATATATTTTTTTCTTTTTCTGTTTCAACACGTCGGTCATTTTCCACAGAAGCAAGGTGACCCCAAAAAATAACACTTTCACCACCATTCAACACTCACCATCATTCAACAGTTTCACCATCATTCACACATACTCAGTCTTTGCAGAGGTGTCAAGATACAACAGTTTGGATGACACTCCAAACAGCCAATATTCCAAACCCCTCTTTTAAACTGCAGACATTGTACTTCCCGCCTCAAACTGAAGTCCGGCTAATCGGTTTCCCTGAATCCCTTCAAAAATATTGCCCTGTTCACACTCCAACAGCTCGTCAGGTCCCAAAAACCATTCGTCTACATTCACTCCTATCGAATACGCTCACAAATGCCTGCTGCATATATATAATATAATATATTATATATATATTATAATATATATATATATTTAATATATAATATAATTATATATAATTATATATAATTATAATATATAAATATATATATTTTTAATACTAGACATTTATTACTATATAATAATATATATTTATATCTATATATCAAATAATATTCTATACTATATACATATATATCAATATATAACATTCGTTTTACATTACTACTATTAATACTATCAATATCTCTCATTCAACTTGATATATAATATATAATATATATTATATATATATATATATATATATATATATATATATATATATATATATATATATATATATATATATATATATATATATTATATATATATATATATATATATATATATATATATATATATATATATATATATATATATATATTACATAATATGGTACAGAAGATTTAAGAGATACATTGTTGATATAAAGGTGGCCTTTACGGTACACGTTGTTACGTGTGTATCACCGATTATAAGGCGAAAATCTCGTACAGCTTCTCAGAGCTGAAGCGAATCAGACTGTCTTGGTTTTGATTATAACGATAATAATCCCATTTACAAGGTGCTGTATGACCCCCCTTATGGCTTTAATTAACGCTTAGCCATGAATATAATGGCCTTCCATATTCCCTAACGTGTTCCTTTTTAACAAAACACATGCTGTCTTTGTAATAAATTATGCTTGTTTAAAACTTAGAGAACGTTGCTACATATTAAATTGAAAGCGTTATATTGCTAAACTATTATATCCGGAAAATAAATGTTAATTCATTATTAATATGAACAAGTGTATATACAAATCACACTTTTATTTTCTCTTAGATGAAATTGCTGGGATATATTATTATCTGCATGTGTGTGAACATTGTGGTGTGTTGGGAGAGGAGAGGCGACTTTCTCTGGCCACATCTGCTGTGATTCTCTCCCCTCAAGGGAGGTTGCTTGACGCTGGAGAGGGGCTCTTGATCTAGGGAATTGGATCTGTGTTCCGGTTCCCTGAATTGACCCTGAATACCTTCCATACCCCCCTCCCCACGCGCTGTGTAATCCAACGGATTTAGAGCTCTCCTATGATTATAGTAATAATGTGAGTTCTCTCTTACTGTGTCTGTACTAACGTATTATATACGGTATCTGCTGTACCATTGTGTATGTTAAGGGTAAAGATCATTACCAACCAAATAAATACAATTGACCCTGAGGTTTGGTCCTGAGTATTGTATGTTCTGAGGACATCAGTTTTTTCTGTTTTTATTTTAGTGCTAACCCCTTAAGGGAGGTTCTTTGATGCTGGTGAGGGGCTCTTGATCTAGGGAATTGGATCTGTATTCCCCCTGAAATAAGCCTGAATGCCTTCCATCTACCCCAACCCCCACAGGCGCTGTATAATCCCTACGGGTTTAGCCAATCGATACGGTATATTTTCCATGTAGTGCTTAATTCAGTTCGAATTCAAATCCAGATGTTTATTTCTCTGTGTAGATTACAATGTATGGTTAACATATTATAAGATAATTATAAAATAAAGTACTTATTACAAAGAAGGCCACTAGTATGCTGCTGCTGTACAACACTGACTCCATTGGAAATAAATGGTATAAAATACCGACACAATGGAAATATAAACACAAATGCAGTATAATGTGATCCTTTATTGACTACGTTTCGCCCACACAGTGGGCGAAACGTAGTCAATAAAGGATCACATTATACTGCATTTGTGTTTATATTTCCACTGACTCCATTGCTAGACAGGTCACACACACAGGTCCGTGGTTCGAGCCACGGTACGGGTGGAAACCTTAAGACGTGTTTCCTTAAG